TGGTGGCCACTCCTGGAACTGCACTCAGACCCCATAGTGACTGGATATGAAGGTAATTGGGGTGCAGAGTGGTAATACAAGCATCAGGCCTTGGGAAAGGGATTAAGGTGAACAGATAGAGAAGAGTGTAAAATTAAGCCAGAAAGACTAAAGCAAAGATAGTCGCAGACATAAAATAACTGGAATGGAAACACATGCTGAAAGAAAACAAGCTAAGAGATGGGTCATTTAAAACTAAGATGAGTTGGAATTTCTTCACAGGATTATAAATCTTTGGAATTCTCTACCTAGAGAGCTATTGATTTGATTTGATTTGATTTGATTTTATAATTGTCACACATACTGAGATGCAGTGAAACATGTTTTGCATGCTATGCAGACAAATCATATCTTACATAAGTACATCAGGGTAATAGAACAGAATGCAGAATATAGTGTCATGGCCACAGATAAGGTGCAGAGAAGGATCAAGTTTAATATGAAAGGTCTGTTCAAAATCTGATAACAGCAGGGAAGAATCTGTTCTTGAGTCTGTTGGTATATGTTTTCCAACTTTTGTACCTTCTGCCAGATGGAAGCGAGTATAACAGGGTGAGAGGGTCTTTGATTATGTTGGCTGCTTTTCCGAGGCAGCGGGAAGTGCAGAGAGAGTCAATGGACGGAAGGTTAGTTTGCGTGATGGACTGATCTGCATTCACAAATTTCTGTAATTTCGTGAGGTCTTGGACAAAGCAGTTGCCGTACCAAGCTGTGATGCATCTGGTTAGGAAGTCTCCTATGGTGCATCTATAAAAATTGATATGAGTCAATGTGGACATGCTGAATTTCCTTAGCCTCCTGAGGAACAGGGGTCATTGATGTGCTTCCTTAACCGTGGCATCGATGTGGGTGGACAAGGACAGATGGTGATCTTTACTCCTAGGAACTCGAAACTCTCAACCATCCCCACCTCAGCACCATTGATTGTTCTCCACTCCACATCCTGAAGTCGATGACCGGCTCCTTCATTTTTCGGACATTGAGGGAGGGATTGTTGTCATTGCACCATGTCACTGAGCTCTCTCTTTCCTGTACTCCTGCTCTTGGAAATGTTAGCATGACTAACAGCGTATGCATTTGGCAAGACATGCTCGCCTGAAGAAATCTTCAGTTCTGCAAAAGTCTCAGCCATTCGAGGAAAGAAAAGGAAAACATTCCAGTTAGAAAACTGCATTCAGCAACTCAATATTCAGGAGCTTAGAAGTACGTAGGGCCTATCAGCTTCTATGAACACAGACAGTCAACAGTTAAAAACAGCTGCAGAACAATAACACTAATAAGTCTGTATTTAGGAGCTCAGATCAGTGAGAAATAATAAAAAAAACTGAAAATATTTCTGTAGATCATAAAGAATCTCACTAAAGCTACAAGGAAAAATGTGGATCATGAACTTGGGACACAGCAATTAATATCAGGCAACAAAGGAAGTAAATCCCTGAGGGGAAGAAAGAAGATTCTTGCATTTAAAACAAGCTAACAGAAGGCCTAAGTTGCTATATTTGGTAAACAATGATTGTTATAAATATTTTAAATTATCACGAACAGCTACAGAAAGGATTTTTTTAAAAGGACACCTGTTTAAAAAATCCATTAAAATGGCAGTATTCATCAACTAATTAGACTGAAAAAAAACTGGACAAAACATCTAATGTGCATTCAAAAATATTCTTAATAGATGTGATATAAGCACAATCTAATTTGTTTCAATTTAAAATAGTGCAACTATATTGAAGCAGCAAAGAGGATTCAAACCATCTACATTGTTGAAAAAGGCATGAAACAGTTAAGATGAGAAGGAAAAACAGACAAACTCCTCCATTATGGGAGATAAGAAAACAATTTTTTCTTGATTCTAAAGTGCTACAATGACCTTTAAATGTTTGAAAATGACTTTTCCTGCACAAATAGAATGATAATTCTGAAACAATTAGTTTTCAATTTAATAGAAATTGAATAAAAAATATTGAAAACATAAATATAGTAGCTTTCAGGTAGCTCTCTTTGTTCCATTGTGTCATTTTAAAAAATGAACTACTGAAACTATGTAATGAATTGAATATTTATGTTAGTATCATAAGAACATGTGACGATTACTTGTTATTAAGTATCAATCATATAACGGAGAAGCAGATTTAATAAAAGAATACAGCTTCTAGGAGAATCTGTTAACAACTTTACTAATGATCTTTATACTTTGCCAGCATTTTGTGATTATGGTGATTTACAATCAGAACTTATTCAAGACAGAACTTTCTTTAGAATTACTGATCCATTTATTTCAGAAACGTTACTATCAAAGGAGGATCTCACACTAGGAAGTGCTATCCAAAACGTTGGTAGAAGTTAAGTATCCGAAACAGAACAAAAGAATGACGATAACAGAAAGCCAACCAACACAAGATGATCGTCAGACTTTGCCGGCTTTCCAGGACACAAAACATGGAAACATCTTATGATATTCCAAATCAAAACATGTTTAAATACTTTGATGCTAGAACTCACTGTTTCAAAATGTGAAATTTAAAGAAAACACAAGCAGACACAACATTCAGCTTTAACATTCCAATGCAACTTTTGTAAAAAAAAGTCAGATATTTCCAGAGAATATGCACAAGTCTTAAACAGTCGAATCACAGACTAATAAAGCTTACTTACATAAAGAGCTTATCATGTCACAGGAGGGAGGAAGAAACCCAGAATAACAGGGCACACATTTATTGAAACATACATCTTTATATGATGTTATGGCAATGATGGTAGGGCAACTCTACCTTTCCTAGGGATAACTTGTGACCTGCCTGAACCAGGACTGACAGTGGTAACTGCCAACCAACTCATCTCAAAGTTGACAATAGAGGAAAAACAGAAATTGCTGGAAAAGCTCAGCAGGTCTAGCAGCATCTGTGAAGAAAAATCAGTGTCAATGTTTCGGGTCTGGTAACTCTTTGTCAGAACTTATGGTAGCTGGGGAATGTCAGTTTATATGCAGAAGATACGGTGGGGAGAGGGGATAATGAGTAAATGATAGGTGGGGATAGAGCCCAAAAGAGAGAGAAGAACAGTTGGACAGACAAAGGAATTGACAATGATCTGGCTAAGAGGGTGAATAGCTGTTAACAGGAACTGTGAATGACTAACAATAGGTAGTGTGTAATGGCAAGCTATGTGATAACAAGGCCTGGTGTGTGGGGAAGGGGCTAGGATGTGGGAGAGTTCATGCCCTAAGATTATTGAACTCTATATTGAATCTGGAGGGCTGCAGGGTCCCCTAGCAGTAAATGTGGTCTTGTTCTTCCAGCTTGCACTGAGCTTTGCTGGAACACTGCAGCAAGCCTGAGACAGAGATACTGGCCAGGGAACAAGGTGCTGTGTTGAAGTTGCAGGCAACTGGAAGCTCAGGGTCTTTTTTTGCGGGCAGAACATAGATGTTCTGCGAAGCTGTCAACCGCTTGACAATGGGGCAAATGTTACTGAATTATCTGAAAATAAAACATAGTTGAAGGGAATGAAGCTTCAACCTTCTGACAGGGAACTGCATGGTGCAGGCAGAACACTGCTCAAAATCAAAGGAATGCATAGAGTAGTCTTAAAATACAGAGACCATTACAATTTGAAAAGGTGTTCATCATCAAAACAAAAACAGCACTTTTCACTTTGGAGCAGAAAAACATACCTCGCTCTTAATATTCTCCATTATGTTGAAGAACCTCAACCAACTTAGAATCCAAATACCAGCATCAATGCAACTTTACTCAACAACAGGAAATCTTTAAAGGTCTCAGAAGCGTGTTCACTAAACCCAAGAGAGAATATACACCAGCTGAGATTAATTACTTTGGTGTCTTAACAACTCTTCATGATTGACAGTTCTGATGATAGTACTGATTCCACAGGATTGAAGGAATTATTCAATTGTCTTCCAAATGCAGGTGAATGCTCAAATTCTGGTCACTGAAGATCTCAGACACCACAACTATCAGGAATTAGTAGCAAACTGCCAATTCAGATGTTCAGAAGAAAAAGTACTAAAACAGCACAATCAGCTAACTGTCTACCTGATAAAAGGATCCAAAAGAACATTTGTCAGAGTGGAAGGATAACATGGGAGTATACCTTGCTAAACTTAAAAAACAGAAAATTGTTACTTCTTTCTGATCACAACAAACTTCTCTGACATACTTTGAGGAGACTAAAGCTCCCTCATGGGAAAAAAGACTTTCAATGGTGACATCAATACCAGAGAACATCCTTTGTAAAAGTCAATTGGGAGATCAAGCTTCCAGTATAGCAATGATCTGTACCTGAATGAGTGTCATCAAGTTGCTGATTTCCAACCCAACGAAGTCATCAGCTATTTATAAAGTCAGAGACGTGGGGACAGATGGTGCATCGGTATACTGACTTTACCTAATAGAAACAATTTTCTAAGAAATTTAGTAATCAGGAAAAAAGCTTGGAGGCAGATGTTGAATTAATACAAGTAGTACCTGAAAGGGTCCACAACTTCATGTAATAAGCTCTATCGATCAGGATATAAAGGACTGTTCCTGAGAGGAGCTTACAAGTGTTTCAGTTCTCTGACAGTTGAGTACCAGAATATTTTAGTGGTTATCAGGAATGTCTACTCACTCTCAAGGATAGCTTGAGGTTTTACAGAGGAATCTCATGCATTTCAGATGAAATGTGACTAGATATTAATTATTACATCATGAACCTGTTCTATTCATCGAGACCGAGCCTGATTTCTGCTGAAGTTTTCATTTGGGCGTCCTTCCCCAATTATTATCAGTAAACAGACAAGTACCAAAGAAAAGGAATGTGGCAGTCTGCCCAAGGCATCCAAGGTGGCTCCTGTGACCACAACTGAAATATAGAACATGCTGGCAGCACCAGTCCCTGAAAACATGGCACTAATCAAATGTGACAATTTATAACACAGTAAATTCAAAAAACAGACTCACGAGTAAAATGGCTGGAAGTGGATGGGTTCACACTGTCACCACTTTCTGCACTTTCACTTTCAGAGATCTCATCATCTGACTCCCTTACAGATGAACATGGTGAGGCTCCTTCAACATCTTCAAACTTCCTCTTCAAAATCCCACTCATGATGCTCTCAAATTATTAACAGCAACTGCAAAACAAAATTAATTGAATAATGTTTCTTACTTTCTGTTAAGGAAATCAAAGAAAATGAGTGAACTCAGATGATAGTAACTGTAATGTGAGGAATAACAAAAATTTAAAGCTGAAGTGACTCATACATTTTTCAATTACAGCATGTGTTAAATATATTGTCTTTAAAATAATAGATCTGTCCTTCTGCCATCAATTTTTTGGAACAGTAACTGAAGCTACAGTTCAGTGATGCAGATTTTGACACATGTAGCACTGACCTTTGCTCTTTATTCTGGTTTTGGATTCCATAATTTGCAGGAACTACAGATTAAATGTGAGGTCAGCAGTATGTGTATATGAACTCTCAACTATTTTTGATTCCCTGCGGAGAAAGTTAAACCTCTCGAAAATATTTGGTACAGAAAGCAATCTTTCTACAAGACGATATTTGGTGCTCAAGGAGAAATATTTATTCTGTCTCTTTTTGTTTATTCCTAGGAAAATCCTGCTCATTCACTAATGAATTCACAGAAGCACATACAAATGTGAAAAGAACTATAGGTGGATTGCAAAAGTATGATTTGCATTGAATTATTTAAAAAAGACTTTCATTCTGTCACTAACAATTACTTTATAATTGGATACAAAAATAGGCAATTATGCTGATTTTTGTTGTACACTACATTTAAAATGTTGTGCTACAAAAAGCACTAAGTTGTGCTAGCAATTAAGTATGTCCTCTGTTTCTGAATTGGTTTTAAGTAACCTTCCATACGCTTCATAACCAACTAAAGGTATTCCAGACTTAAAATAAGCTGGTTAATGTGTTTGTGTGCATATAAATCCCACAATAAGATGCAATTGTTCAACACTTTTTATTGAAACCAAACATTCTGATTGAATTAACAAGGTGTAGAACTGGATGAACACAGCAGGCCAGGCAGCATCAGAGGAGCAGGAAAGCTGCCGTTTTGGGTCTGGACCCTTCTTCAGAAATGATTCATTCTGATTGAGACTTAAAAGTAAAAATTCAATGTGCTTTATGGTTTTCAAAATGAAAAGTTTTCAATCACACAAATCTACGTGTAGAATTTTTGAAACACTTGAAATTCAAAGCAATCTCATAAAATAACCTATAATGCCTAAAATTAGTACTCAAATAATAAACTTTGAAATTACATAATAATATCTTGGTCATTCAGGTCAACCTATGATATACTTACACGGCACTGGGAATGTTAACTTGCGGTTTCCATTTCAGCTACTATATAATAACCAGTTTGCAACACGGAGAGGAAATGACCCTCAAAACAATAAACTTTACCATCCACATTTGACCTTACTTAATCCACACTGGGGTAATTATAACCAATCCTTATGGTAGCAAACTGACATAATCAGATTAGCTGCCTGTCTTCTGCACCACCTCATTTTATCTACAATAGAGTAAAAGCTACATTTAAAACAAAAGTGGGTAAATAATGCTTTAAAGAACTAACACCTCAATAAATGAATTGAAGAGATATAACTGTGCTGCAAAATAAGCTTTATTGGCAGTCAGCTGCCAGTCAGTTTGAGCTGAAAGAAATAAAAGACTCATAAAAAAATTACTTCACAAAAGGAAATAAATGAATCCATCATGCCTTAATTGCAGTTGATATCTGCATTAGGACGATGCACTTTATCTTTTTTTCTAATTTTTTTGTGCTTTTTTTTTTAAAAAAATGTACTGCAGTTCATAAATTCTTCTGAGCTAAGATAGAATGGTTGCAACCAGCATTTCAAGGATAATGGACATAGCTCCACGGGCCTCATAGAGAAGTGATGTCTGAAGAGACACAGAGATTTCATGAGGTATGCTATTTGATCTGAGTGGTCTTGCAGAATAGTCAAGCACACTCCCAGTGACAAAGGTATTAACAGCCTGATGGGTTTTTTTTTTGCCTCAGGGGTCTCAGAAACAGAAAGATCAACAGTAGGTCTGTGTAGGACTCAGGAATGGTGGCAGTGAGGTTAAAAAGAGCAGCAGGTTCAAAAGGACACAGAAGCAGACAAACCTGTGACAATGTTATGTGGGACATGGAAAGCGAAATTAAAAGGAGCAGTGAAGACGGAGAGATTGGCAGAGAAGCTGTGTGGGACTCAGGAGCAGTAGCAGTGATGTTTAAAGGAGCAGTGAGTGAGGAGGGGTCCCAGAAGCAGACAGCCAATGATGGAGCAGCTTTATCAAAAATCGAAATGTGAAAGACAGCAAGCAGGTAATTGGTGGGTACTTCTCTCGTCTTATGACCGGATGTTAAATTTAAGGTAAGGTTGTAAGTACAGCTTAAACATTTTGGATAGATAATTAAAATGGGGAGAAAAGGGCCTTATATAATCACTAGGCTATTAATATAGAGATTAAGCTAATAGTCTGGGGACCCCAGTTCCAATGTCACCATGGCAGATGATGGAATTTGAATTCAATAACAATATGGAATGAAGAGCCTAATGATTATCATGAAACCCTTGTTGATTGTTGGGAAAAAATTGTGGCCCACTCAGGAAGAAACTGCCATTCTTACCTGGTCTGGCCTGTACGTGACTTCAGATCCCAAGCAACACATTTGATTCTTACTGCCTTCTCTGCAATTAGGAATAGGCAATAAATGCTGGCCCAACCAGTGATGGCCACATAGCATGAATGTATTTTTTTTTAATAAAATTACAAAATCAAAACTAGATTTCTTCGTTTTATAGTGAAGGGGTTCTGATTGCTTGTCAGGCATAAACACCTAGTACCTTATTCCCAGTGAAATAGTCTCGGCAGCCTTTAATCTCCAGCAATCAAACCACCCAAACCTCTTGTCAGGCAGACTTCAGAACAGGTCAAAATACCCACCTAATTTCACCTCAAATTAATGACATACACACATACGTAATAATCTCATACACATCATGATTGTAACAAGTATTGCTTGAGCACCACTCTTCTAGGTAAGTGGAGAGTATTACAACACATCCTGATTATGCTTTTAGATGCTGGAAATGCTTTGGGATCAGGATGTGCATTGCTTTCCATAGAATTCCTAGGCTCTGACCTGCTTTTTAAGCAACTGCGTTTTTGTGGTTGTTCCAGATAAGTTTCTAGTTTATGATAATCCCCAGGATATTGATAGGAAGTGATTCAGTGATGATAATTTCATTGAAATGGCAAGGGAGATGGGTATATTTCCCTTTTTGGAGATGGTCATGCAGCACAGTGCCTCAGTGGTTAGCACTGCTGCCTCACAGCACCAAGGATCTTAGTTCGATTCTACCATCAGGTGACTGTCTGTGTGGAGTTTGCACACACTCCCTGCATCTGCGTGGGTTTCCTCTGGATGCTTTGGTTACTTCCCACAATCCAAATATGGGTGGATTGGCCATGAGAAATGTGGGGTACAGGGATAGGGAAGGGAGTGGGTCTGGGTGGGATGCTCTTTGGAGTGTCGGTGAGGACTCGATGGGCCAAATAGCCTGCTTCCACACTCTTGTGATTCTATGATGTCTGGCACTTGTTTGGTGCAAACATTACATGCCAATTATCACCCTGAAATGTTATCCAGAATTAATGCATGCTGAAACAGACGACTTCAGTACCTTAGTAATGATGAACAATGCGCAGTGAGTCATCAGTAAAAATCTCTACTACAAATTTTATGGGTAGATATGAATGGGTGTTGATATTTCAAACTCTGCTACTGAAAGTCAGCAGATATCACCACCCTTTTCCACTGGGCAGAAGATACAAAAGTTTGAAAACACCACCAAACAGATTTAAGAACAGATTCTTCCCTGCTATCAGACTTATGAATGGACCCCTCATATTCAGTTGATCTTTCTCTCCACCTTCTACATAGCTGAAACGTTATATTCTGCATTCTGTTCTATTGCCCAGATGTACTTATGAAAGGTAATGATTTGTCTGGTTAGGTCGCAAAACAATACTTTTCATTTTATCTCAGTACGTGACAATAATACATCAAGACAAATCCACTGCATATGGCAGCTCTGTATCTCTCCGAGGAGCATCAAATCAACCTGAAGAAAGCTCAATGAGAGTGGAAGGCCATCTCTCTTCAGCTATCTGGTCTCAGCGCCGTTACTGGACTGTTTCTAGTTCAAGTAAAGTTGAACCAGGAGCCCAGTGCAAGCCAAGTCTGGAAGAGGCCAGAGTAGGACATACAAAAACCTCAGGTGGGGGCAAGGGCAGTGTCTACCAATTTAAATTGCAATGAAGTTTGGAGCAGACAAAGAGGTGACTCAGAAGTCAACGATTTCAAGGAGTTCTCCATCCAAGTAAAACCATCCAGGGAGTTCCATAAAAGTCTTACGTTGAGAGGGGAAGGTCACTGAAGAAGCAAACAAAGATGAGGAAGTCCAAGGCACTATTTTGAAGAACTTGTGAACCACGTCCTTTGCTGAGGTGATTGACATTAAACAACAATAGCCATCTTCCTTTGTTCTAAATAGTACCTCCCCCCTCACCCCCATCCCAGGCCCCAAGAAGACTTTCCACATCAAGCAGATGTTCACCTGCACATCTGCCAATGTGGTATACTGCATCCGCTGTACCCGGTGTGGCTTCCTCTACATCGGGGAAACCAAGCGGAGACTCGGGGACCGCTTTGCAGAACACCGACGCTCAGTTCGCAATAAACAACTGCACCTCCCAGTCGCGAACCATTTCAACTCCCCCTCCCATTCCTCAGACGACATGCCCATCCTGGGCCTCCTGCAGTGCCACAACGATGCCACCCGAAGGTTGCAGGAACAGCAACTCATATTCCGCTTGGGAACCCTGCAGCCCAATGGTATCAATGTGGATCTCACAAGTTTCAAAATCTCCCCTCCCCCTACCGCATCCCAAACCAGCCCAGCTCATCCCTACCTCCCTAATCTGTTCTTCCTCCCACCTATCCCCTCCTCCCACCTCAAGCCGCACCTCCATCTCCTACCGACTAACCTCATCCCGCCCCCTTGACGTGTCTGTCC